ACAGAGAAGTGTACATCTCACTGAATTTGGGTAGGTGAGGGCATATCCAAAGGAGAATGAAGGTAGGGAAGTAGTCTTAAACTTTGGCTGTAAGCCTTGGAAACAAACTTGAAAGCTAGTAATACCAACCGGTCTGGGAGTCATGCTGTAGTGGAGCTGTGTGTGCTGTGCCCCTGGGGAATCCAGCCACAAACAGGGCTTGCACCAAAGGTGAGGCTGGCTGTGCCAAGCCAGCAGCCGTCTGTTGCAGAGGGGGGATGTGGAGAGGAACTAGCTGAAACGCGGAGGAACTAGCTGAAATGAGGAAGGAAGCAAACCCTGATGCTCAGAACTCTAATGCCTGTTCTGACTGATGGAGCTTGCTGTCGTTGCTTCTGGGATCCTCTTCTCTCCTGAAGTGCTGTTTGCGGAGGGTGGACAGGCTTCTAGAACAGAGAGATCACTGCTTCAGATCTGAAGGTCTGCTAGGTTTGTGTGTTGAAAGCTTGTCTGTTACACCAGCTGACAACAGCTGGAATGCCATGCTGCCTCTCCTTACAGACTTTGCCTTACTGATATCCTTTGATCTTCACTGCAAAACTGCCATTGATACCTAATCTGACTTTGGAAGAGCGCTTGTAATGGTGGTTTGCCAGAGGAGTGTTTTCTCTTTTCTCTTTATTGTTTTGTTGTTTGGTTTTTTTTTTTTTTCCCTGAGGTGCCTAATGTTGTTGCACTGTCACTTCCTCTTTTAAAAATAAAAGAGGAGATCCTTTCCAGTCAAGACCTTATTTCAAAACTCCCCACTAAAATCAGTGTGTCTACCCATGATTTGGAGGTTCCTGCTGCTGACTGCTATTTCCAAAACTGCCAGTCCTCTGCTATGCTGCCTGCTTAGACAGTGTGTATCTGTATTTTTGAGTCCCACCCTTTCCCACTCGACCTCCAGAGAATATTTGGCCAACCTGTGCTTTGTGTTTCCTGGCAGTTATTCCCTGCTCCATGCTTCCAGAAAGACATTCAGCAATGTCAAAGTCAGCATTTCCAGCCAATGGACTCCCTCCTGCCTAAACAGCACGGCCCCTGAGCTCCGACCATATGAGGTAAGGACACAAGGGATAGGCAAGTGCAAAGAAAGCCGGGTAACTTTCCAGTACGGGGGGCATCAGGGACACTTCTCTGAGAAGAAGTGAGTGAGAACTTCAGGGGTCTGAATTGTAGTTTTCTGGATCATCAGGTGATGGTGAACTCTTTCCTACTGGTCTTCAGAGAGAAGTCCTCAAGAAGTCAGTGTTCCAATGGAAATGGGGACCCTGGGAGACTCTTTGTAGTAGCCAGCAGCATGGAGGAGAGGGA